TAATTTGAAGGAATATATGATACGAAAGATATACTTTAAAGGAACGAAGTTGGGGAGACAAACTCGTTTGAAAAATCAAAAAAGTTTTTTAAATACTCAAAAATTCCATTTTTCGAATACAAAGGGTGAACAAAAATTTGTAATTTGCTACCAAATGAGTACAAGGAAGAATATTTTTGTATGGGTTTTTCTATAAATGTTTTACAAATGTTTGTGTTTTTTATTCTATTTTGATTTACGAGGGTACTGGCAGTGACTGCAACGAATGCATACTATTTAAGTAGTCACACTTTACAGAATTTATTTCTTTAAGTGGACCGGAATAAAGCTTATTTTAAAAGCCAGCATATGGACGTGACTGAAATATCTTGGGATCATGTTGTGCGATAATTAATATGACAACCCCAACCAAGTATGAGACCGCAATTTAAAACCCATTTAGGAATTTCCGTAAATGGTTCGCGAAATAACACTTCTCTGCTGTTTTTCCCTAGGAACCCGGAAACGCACACCTTCGCCCATATGCAATCAACAGCGCTACAAATCGAGAAGTTTGAAGATGTTCTTTGTGATAAAAAGTAACTCTAATGAGTCAATTTTTGAGTCGGGCGCTCCAATTCGTCTTCGGATTAACAGGAAAAGTGCAATGAACAAATAAAATTTCAAAACTGCCAAAAAATCAATAGTCATATGGGGTGAGACGTGATTGGTAGGTGTGGCCTCAGTTAGTCTCTGTCGTGCGGCCTGTCTTTTCCATCGTTATTTGACGTGCTTATAAATACCAACCAACTTTACGTGCCGGTTGATGCATAAATCGTCGGAGTGCATGGCTTCGAGGAATTCTCGGCCACTTTTGGAGGGGCAAACTCCAACGATGGGTGTCAAAGAACGATGGAAGAGACAGAGGCCGCACGACAGAGACTAACTGAGGTCACACCTACTAATCACGTCCAAGCCCATATAACTATTGATTTTTTCGGCATTTTTGAAATTTTAGTTGCTCATTGCACATTTCCTGTTAGCCCAAAGACGAAATGGAGCGCCAAACTCGAAAATTCACTCACTGAAGTTACTTTTTATGCCAAAGAACATTTTCTTCAAATTAGAATTTCTTGGGATGCGTGTGTTCCAGTTTATACGAGATCGGGAAGCATTTCCTGCCCTGCCCCGTACAGGAAGGAGGGAAGAAATTACAAACAAGCACCCACCTCTATTTGAAAATCCTTGCCCGAGTAGAGCTCCATCCGCTTGCCGTACTTCTTCGTGTCATCCAGGAAGACCTCGGGGTCGTTGGGGTCACGAATACGGTAGTCAAAGAT